CTAGAGCAACAGGTAGCCCCTTTGCACTAGTTCCAGGGCACCTTCCCACAAAGAGATCAGGGACACATGCTTACTCAGTGTGGTTTTCTGTCCCCCTCTAGTGGTGGATCACAGAGATGTATGAGCTGCTGCAGCTTCTGTTGAGCTATCAAAGCCAATTCTTTTAGCTCAGGCAGCACAGCTTTCAGCTCATGCTTTGAGATCCAGAGGTCCAGGGTTCCAGCTGCTGACATCTCATCCAGGGGCCTCATGTTACAACCTGCATGCCTGCAGGGTTGCTGAGCTCAGTGACTCCACATGGGGGGGTTCTCCATATCAGGGATGAATTTCACCCCACGTGTGTGAGCGTTTGCAGGGTTCAGGCTATATCAGCATCTGCAGTTTCACTGGACACCGATGCCTGGATGCCTTTCGGATCATCAGCTGCGCACCTGATTCCTCTCATTTATTGTTTCCTCCTTTCCACATTGTCTATTGTTTTGTTTCGGTTGTTTTTATATGATTCGAACCATTGCCTAAAATATTCTCTATTCGTTTTAAAAATTATTTTTATCCCTTTCTCTGTTTTTATCTTTAACCGTTGCCTTGTTTTTATTTCTTTTAATACACGTTTTCTTTAACTTTCCTCTTCTTGTTGTACGTAATCAGAGTTTAAGGCGAGAAGGGACGACTGGATAATCTAGTCTGACCTCCTGTACATCACGGGCCACCAGCACCCACACGCTAAACCCAACAAAGGCTTTCCTATTTTTATATAACTTTTTAACCTTTTACGGTTTCCTTTTTTTTTTTTTTTTTTTTTTAAAATATATTTTCTTATACTCTTAAACATTTCAAATTTTATTTTTAATACCATCCAATTCTGGTTTTTATTTCTATTTTCAACCTTTCATTTACTTTTAATTTTTAACCCCTTGCAATTCCTTTCTTTAATATTTAAATCCTTTCCTAATTTATTTTAATTTTAACCATTTACAGTTATATGTTTTTCAACTCTTCCCTATTTTCTTTTTAAAAACTTTAACCTTTCTTATTTTCTATGTTTTAGGTTTTTTTCCTTTAACCCTTGTTTTCTTCTTTTTTGATTTTCTTTTAACTCTTTAGCATTTTTCACAGTTGTGTTTAACCCTATCTTTTTCCACTGGTTTTCCAGAAATGTCTTTTAACTCTTTGCACTTTTCTTGAATTATTATGATTATTGGGTTTATTCATTGAGGCCCTTAGCCTGCAAACACCGCTGCTCATGCTTAGCTTTATGCACTGTGAGTCGCCCTGCTGATTTCAATGGGACTGTATCAATTAAGCATGTGCTTATGTGTTTCAGGATTGGGGCTTTAACCCTTTCCTACTTTCTTGTTTAACTTGTATCCAATGCCCGGATACGCCCCTCCGTTCCCTCCTTATTACACCTTCCCATAAGGGACACAATGGAGAAAATGGGATATGGCCTCTCAGCTAGCGTAACCTGGTGTTGGCCCCATTGATGCAGATTTGCACTAACTCAGGCTCTGGCCCAACAGCTGAAGGCCACACGGGGCACGATTAGGCAGGGGGATGTAGGCAGGAAGATGGAGCAAGGGGGTGGGGAACAGGAGGAGATAAGATCTGGGATGCAGGCTGGAGCAGCCTCATGCAGCCTTGGAGGGGAAGATGAGGGACCCAGCTCAGCAAAGCATTCGAGTACGTGCTTGAGTCCCAACGAAATCAATGCTGAAATGGGACAGACTGCGGGATCGGATGCGAGGGGTACAATACTGCTGCAGGAAGAAGCGGGGATGAGAATCTGGGAGGCGGGTGGTATAGTTGGAACAGAGAGCAAGGAAGATGGTCAGCATGGACGTGAAGTGGGAAGCAAGGAGGCTGGAGGGCAGCAGGGTGCAGTGGTCACGTTGAGACATGGCCAAAGCATGGGCCAGGGAGCAGTGGGAAAGAAAAGGAGATGCTGTAAGAGGAAGAACGTTTGGGAGCTGGGGACAGCCAGGATGGGGTAGAAGGGAATGGAGATTGGAGTCCGCAATAATTCTGAGGGGGTGACTCTGGGCAGTCAGGAGGACAGTGGAATTGCCAACAGAGGCAGAGAAACAGGGTAAGGACGGAGTGGGAGGGAAGTCAGGGAGCTGGGATCCTGCTGTGCTGGAGTGAACGCTGGAAGGCTGATGGAAGGAATACAGATTCTCTACACTTGAAATGCTACAGCAGTGCAGCTACAGCACTTCAGTGTAGACACAACATGCGCTGACAGGAGGGGTTCTCCCTTCGGTGTAGGCAATCCACCTCCCTGAGAGATGGTAGCTAGGTCAATGGAAGAATTCTTCCATTAACCTAATGCTGTCTACACTGGGGGTTAGGTCGGCTTAACTACGTCGCTCCGGGGTGTGGATTTTTCATAGTCTTGAGCAATGTAGCTGGGTCGATCTAACTTTTTAGTATAGGAGAGAACTAGAGGAAAGGAAATCAAGAGCTGAAAGGAGATGGGGACAGGTCAAAGGACGAGCAAACGGAACAGGGGTTCAGAAGAGAGTTGGGGCAGCATGGGTGGGGGACAGGGAGTCAAGGGGCAGATGACTACTACCAGATGGCATTGATTTCTTTCCCTTGTCTGAAGTACTTAGCAAAGTTCTGGATGGAGAGAGAGAGGAGAAGGCAGGTGGAATATTGATCAGGACTGAAAGCAGAGGCAGGTCAAGAGGCTTTCAATGGAGCTGGTAGAATTTTTTCATTGGGAATAATATTTGTTTTGATTTTAGCTTTCTTCTGTGAGTGGGTTGTTTACAAACCAATCCTGGTTCCTACAATAGATTTATGGAGCCAGTTCTTTGGCTGGCATAAACTCATACAGCTCCATTATTTACCCCAACAAAGACTAGCTGAACACCAGCGCCAATGATTTGTAAATATCGGCAGAATAACCTACGTGAACAATTTATATTGTATGGATTGTTTGCCAGTGGCATAATTTGACTATACATTACTTTTATGTGTGTCTTTTGTGCCATTGGTCAGCTAAGTCACTTGGTATTGTTTCTGCTTCCTGATTAGGTGAGTGAAACTTTTGTAAACAGGGATATCACACTTTCCAGTGCATATTTTCGAACAAACACATATGAATATGGGCATAAGCTTTTGTGGGTAAAAAACCTCACTTCTTCAGATGCATCCCATGAAAGCTTATGCCCAAATAAATCTGTTAGTCTTTAAGGTGCCTCCTTGTTGTTTTTGTGGATACAGACTAACCCGGCTACCCCAGATACATATGAATATGAAAATTTGTGGAAAAGTTCTGGATTTGTGAACATTTTCACAAATAAGTTGCAGGCACTCCAATTAATAAAACTGGCTGAAACTTTTCTTTTTTAACTGTGAACATTTCAAAAGTATTTTTGTTCCTTTGTTTTTAATAATTGTTATTGAATTTTCATTTTTTCTAAATTTTCAGAATTTTTTCATAGATTAGTCTTCATTTTTGAAAATCTTAATTTTAGCAAATGGAATGTTTGAATCTGAAATGGAAATTTTTTGACAATGAAAGATTTGTTTTGATTTTGAATAATTACCAGCATTTTACTAAGCCTACCAATCAAAATTGGCAATGGAAATAAAACAAAATGGAAACCTAAAATGACACGAAAAAGTGAAAAAAAACAAAACAAAACAAAAAAACAACTCACCTCAAAGAACAAGAGGCTAAAATATTTGCAACATTTCTGTAAAAAACAAAATTGAAAAATTTGAAAAAAACAAAAACCCAAATGATTTTGCAAAACTGTTCATTTTTGAAAAAGGACGTTTTGTCCAAAAATATTTTCTTAAAAAAAAAAAAAAAAAAACTGAACAGCTCTACTTGTGAATAACAATAACAGAATAATATGATCCCACAAAGGTGAACAAAATAGACTTATCCCATTTGAACACGAACATATTCACAAATCACTTTCCCTGTTGTTCATCTAGCTCTAGGCTATAATCAGGGAGAAATAGGCACTGGATGGTACCTAGATCGAGGGATGGGTGATGGGCAGAGTTAGGCAAGGAAGATGGTAGAACAGAATGAGTATTAACCTTCAGTGGAGGAAATATGCATCATCATAGGATATTCTCCAGAGACCCCCTATAGCAAGGAAGTTGGAATAGAAGCATAAGCCAGGGCATGGTGATATAGACAAGAAAGGATGGAGGTGCGAGGGATTCCATGGCTAATGGATTGTAAATAATGAATCTCACACTTCTCGGTGTGAATTTGTAGTGAGATGAGGAAGGAGCTGAGAACATCAAGGAAGGCACAGACGGGAGATCATGGGAGGAACGTCAAGCTGGGCAGGTGGTATGCGGGAAGAGGGCTGTATGGAAAGAGGTGACTTGATTACTGGGGAATAAGAACTCAGAGCCCAAGAGGGGCCAGAAAGGGAACTGGATGCGGTGAGGAGCAGGTCAAGAGAGAGTCAAGGAAACTGATCCAGCACTGCAAGTCAGATGAGCACGTTGGGGACAGGAAACAAGTTGCAGTCATGTTGGATGGGACACCAGCATGGAAGCTGGAGGCACCGAGAAGGGAGGGGAAGTGGGAGGAGCCAGACGTGTGAAGGGAAAGGAGAGGGGAGAGAAGAAGAAGAGGTGGATGGTGTGAATTTTGGAGGAGGAGAAGGAATGGGGAAGGAGGAAAAAGCAGGAGAGTAGGAAGCCAACTGCACAGCCCTGGGAGCAGGGAGAGTGAGAGGGGTGGCAAAAGGCAGGGCAGAGGGGGGAAGATATGGAGGTGGTGAAGAGGGAGGCAAGTGAGAATTAGGGGGAGCGAGGGGGAACAGAGAGGCTGCGGGGGGCGGTTAGTTTATCAGTGATGAGGCCGGGGCCCCGGACGGAGCAGGCGAGGGGAAGGAAGGGTGGGGGAAGGCACGGGACGGGAAGGACAGGGCCCAGGGCAGATCCAGCGGGTTGTTGGAGAGGGTGGGGATGGAGATGGGTGAGGGGGAGGAAGGGAAAGAGGGTAGAGTGGGGAGGGGGGCGGAGGAGGTGCCCAGCGGGGAGGAGAAGGAGGCAGAGGAGAAGGCGGAGGAGGCCTGCAGGGGGTTGCTGGCAGCGGCAGCAGCGGAGTTCTTGGTGGCAGAGAGCAGCGAGGGCTTGTCGCCGGTGTGGGTGCGCTGGTGCCGGTTAAGGTGGGAGCTGCGGCTGAAGCACTTCCCACACTCAGGGCACTTGTAGGGCTTCTCGCCGGTGTGCACGCGCTGGTGGATGGTGAGTTCCGAGCGCTGGATGAAGCTCTTGCCACACTCGGAGCACTGGTAGGGCTTCTCACCCAGGTGGATGCGCTGGTGCTTGATGAGGTTGGAGCTGACGCTGAAGCACTTCCCGCAGACGTTGCACTTGTAGGGCTTCTCCCCAGTGTGCATGCGCCGGTGCTTGGTCAGGTCCGACTTCTGGATGAAGCCCTTGCCGCAGTCAGGGCACTTGTAGGGCTTCTCGCCCAGGTGGGTGCGCTGGTGCTTGATAAGGTTGGAGCGGACGCTGAAGCTCTTCCCGCAGTCCCCGCACTTGTAGGGCTTCTCGCCGGTGTGCATGCGCCGGTGCTTCACCAGGGCCGAGTTCTGCCCAAAGCTCTTGCCGCACTCAGGGCAGGTGTAGGGCTTCTCACCCGTCTGCGTGCCCTGGTGCTTGACGTTCTCTGCCCGGTAGGTGAAGCTCTTCCCGCATTCCGTGCATTTGTGGGTCCTCTCCGCCACGGGGGAAGGCCTGGCGCGGGAGCCCCACAGGAAGCTCTTCCCGCAGTCAGTGCACTTGCAGGGACGCTCCCCGCTCAGCACGCGGCGCCGCTTGGCGCTGGCCAGGAAGCTCTTCCCGCAGTCAGTGCACTGGCAGGGCTGCTCCGAGCCCAGGTGCACCCGCTGGTGCCGCTCCAGGTGGGAGCTCTGCGAGAAGCTCTTGCCGCAGTCCCCGCAGCGGTAGGGCTTCTCGCCCATGTGGATGCGCCGGTGCCGATCCAGGTGGGAACTCCAGGCGAAGCTCTTGCCACAGTCGCCGCACTGGTAGGGCTTGCCAGCCGCGTGGCTCCGCTGGTGCTGCAGCAGGGAGGCGCTCAGCCCGAAGCTCTTGCCACACTCCTCGCACTTGTAGGGCTTGTCGCCCGTGTGGGAACGCCGGTGCTTGGCCAATGTGGCACTCTTGTTGAAGCCCTTGCCACATTCGGGGCACTGGTAGGGCTTCTCGGCAGCGGCGGCAGCTCCTCCTGCTCCGCGCTGGGGCTTGGTGCCGTTGGGGCCAACGCAGCGACCGCAGTCAGTGCACTTGCAGGCCTTCTCCCCGCCCAAGTGGGTGCGGCGGTGGCGGTCCAGGTGGGAGCTCCAGCTGAAGCTCTTCCCACATTCGGGGCAGGTGTAGGGCTTCTCGCCGGTGTGGATGCGCCGGTGGCGCTCCAAGTGCGAGTTCCAGTTAAAGCCCTTGCCACACTCATCGCACTTGTAAGGCTTCTCTTCCAGGTGCAGCTTCTGGTGCTTGACCAGGCTGGTGCTGGCACTGAAGCTTTTGCCGCAGACGTTGCACTGGCAGGGCTTGACGCCGCCAGTGTGGACCCGCTGGTGCTGGATGAAGGCCGAGCCCACGCTGAAGCTCTTGCCGCAGTCGGCGCACTTGTAGGGCTTCTCGCTGGCGTGGCGGCGCTGGTGGGTGATGAGAGTGGAGCTGAGCCGGAAGCACTTGCCGCACTCGTTGCACTTGTAGGGCTTCTCAGCGCTGCGCAGCCGTGGCCGCTTGTTGAAGCCTGAGCCGAAGCCCAGGCTCTTGCCGCAGTCATGGCACCGGCTGTGCCCCAGCAGGCTCCGCTGGTGGAACTTCTTGAAACCACGGTGAGCGGATTTGCCCTGCCTCTTGCCTGAGGGCTTCCTTGGCTGTCCTTCTACTTTCTGCAGGCCCTCGCTGGCCTTCCCCACATCAGCGCTCTGGGGAGCGCTCCCCTTGGACTTGCCCGGCATCGTCCCTTGGGCATCCACCTTCTCAAGGCCTCCCTGCTGAGCATCCTCCTCCTCATTCTCACTCACCATTCCATCATCTGCTGGAACAACGAGAGAATCCAGTAACTCCCTGGGTCTAGGAAAGGAAACTTTGGAGAAGGGAATTGGAGAGGGTCTGTCACATATTCAAATACCCATCAACACAACGGAAAAAATCAGGAGCCGGCTCTGCCAGACTGCTCCCGTCACCCCTTCCCCTCCCTGGCAGCCTCCCTCTTCCCCCCACCAGCTCCCACCCACTGCTTCCCCTCACCTAGCCACCCACCTCATGACATGTAATGAGAAACCCTTTTGAGAAACAGGGGCCAGATTCTCATAGCTTTACCGAGTAGCACTGTATGCTGCGAACAGTCCCATTAACATCTATGAAGTCAAGACCAGAATGGCCCATTAAATCAGAGAGTCATAGATTCCAAGGCCAGAATGGACCATTTGTGATCATCTAGGTTAACCTCCTGTAGAACACAGGCCAGAGAACTTCCCCAAGATACTTCCTAGAGGAGACCTTTTAGAAAAGCACCCAATCTTGATTCAAAAATTGTCAATGATGGAGAATCCACTGCAATCCTTGGTAAATTGTTCCAATGGCTAATTACTCTGACTGTTAAAAATGTATGCCTTATTTCCAGTTTGAATCTGTCTAGCTTCATCTCCCATCCATTGGATCATGTTAGACCATTCTCTGCTACACTGAAGAGCCTGTTATTAAATATGTTCCCCATGTAGGTACTTGTAGTCTGATGAAGTCACCCCTTAACCTTCTTTGTTAAGCTAAATAGATTGAGCTCCTTGAGTCTATCACCAGCAGGCAGGTTTTCTAATCCTTTGATCATTCTTGTGGCTCTTTTCTGAACCCCCTCCAATTTATCAACTTCTTTCTTGAATCGTGGGCACCAGAACTGGACCCAATATTCCAGCGGTGTTTGCACCAGTGCCAAATACAGAGATAAAATAACCTCTCTACTCCTACTCAAGATTCCCTTGTTTATGCATCCAAGGATGCATTAGCCCTTTTGGCCACAGCTTCGCACTTGGAACTCATGTTCAGCTGATTACCCACCATGACCCCCAAGTTCTTTTCAAGGTCACTACTTCCCAGGATTGAGTCCCCCATCCTGTAAGCATGACCTGCATTCTTTGTTCCTAGATGTATACACTTACATTTAGCCATATTATAACACATAGTTTGCTTGCGCATAGATTCATAGATGTTAAGGCCAGAAGGGCCAATTAAATCATCTAGTCTGACCTCCAGTATAATTCCACCCAATTACTGAATCCAATAACAATTTCACTGGGATCGCTCATGGAGTAAGGTACCATTCAATATAAGTATCATAATCTAAATTCCTCCCTGTTCCCAAATTCCTGCCACCCAAACTAGCTAGCAGCCCCACTCCTCACCAAAAGCACTGATTAAAGCACATCTGGAGTTTTTATGTCCAGTGATTTTGGATTCACAGGGCTTAACACCAGAAGGGACCGTTGTGATCATCTAGTCTAAACTCTCGTAATACAGGCTGGAGGATTTCACCAAGTGATTGCTATGTCTGGCCTAATCATATATGATGAGATAAATCAAGGGTAGAAAAATGTTAAAGGACTGAGATCACTTCATTTTCTGAATCAGATTGCCCCAATGATTTACCATTTTTGTCTCAGATTGTCCAGAGATTTTTCTACTTGGGCATAAGATCACTTGTATGAAATTCCAGAAGGATCGGTTTAGTCCAGGTGAAGTTAGAGAGAGGGACTAAAATAAGGCTCATTTTACTGAGGCGAGACTCCCTCCATTGTTAAGTTTGCAACCAACTTGTATTGTAAGTAGGAAATTCCACAGGAAATTGTGAAAATGAAATATGGAACTATTGTGGAATGGAATGGGATGAGGAACAACTTCCAATTTGCTGAAATCCCCCCCCCGTTTTCTGGACAGCTCTGGTGGAGCTGTGTGATTTTACTGGGCACAAACAAACCTTAGCCCCTTTCCAAAATTTTCTAAAGGAACCATTTTTCGTTTTTTTCCTGTCAGAAAGTACTTACAAAATATTTCAGGAATGCACTGCGTGCCAAGGAGAATTAACTTGAATCGTGTGGAAGCACAAGGAATTTTGATTTATGAGAGGGATCAAAATCACCCTTAGCAATGGGACTGTGGTTGCAACCTTTCCTATGAAGAGACTGTCCTCTTTTCCATAGTTAAACACACCCCAACCGAACCAGGGTGAAAACCCCAGCTCCAGAGGTTCTACAAACACAGGCATGTTAAGCATAAAGGAAGAATCCTGCTACATACAGAAATACCTTTGTTTCCTTTGTAAACTTAAACCAGGTGATAGAGGGTAGTATTCTAGCACACAAACACAGACCCTGATCTTGCAAACATGTATGCACTTGCTTAACTTTAAGCACTTGAGTAGCCCCACCACAGAAATAAAGCACAAGGCTAATTGTTTGCAGAGAAACAGACGTAGCGCTTAATCTCACTCACCAAAGTCAATGGCAAAAACCTCCCCATAATGTTAATGAGAGCAGGACTGAGCCTCTCACTGTTGACAACAGAAACCCTCAATTCTTGAAAGGCAGCATGATGTGGTGCAAAAGGCACAGGACAGGCAGGAAGGGCTCTCCTGGGTTCTAGTCCTAGCTCTGTGACCCGGCGGTGAGTCACTGCACCTCTCTTTCCCCTCCCAACCTTTGTCTGTTGCCAACTCCTGGTCTAAACCTTTCAGAAGTGGTGTGCCAAGTCTTCATTTATTCACTCTAATTTAAGGTTTCGCGTGCCAGTAATACATTTTAACATTTTTAGAAGGTCTCTTTCTATAAGTCTATAATATATAACTAAACTATTGTTGTATGTAAAGTAAATAAGGTTTTTAAAATGTTTAAGAAGCTTCATTTAAAATTAAATTAAAATAACAGTGAAGACACAGCAGCATGGGCTTTACAAGCAATGTACTGGCATTGCTAATCCACACTGTGGTCTGTGCTGACCTGGCTTTACTACTATTTTTAGCCATGCTAGCTAGGTTAAAGCTAGTGCAGGTATGCTATCTGTACTGCAGTCGCAACTCTGATTGCAATGTGTGTGTATACAGCACCTGACACAATGTGGCCCTCTTCTCAGTTGGTAAAACAGATTGTGTTCCTATTTTCCACCAGGCATGGAGAACCGGCAGAATGTACCACTAGCAGGCTCTGATCTCACAGCAGATTCAGGCATGTCTTATCATAATAGAGAGACAAGGTGGGCGAGGTAATATCTTGTATTGGATCAACTTCTGTTAGTGAAAGAGACAAGCTTTTGAGTTTTCACAGACCTGAAGAAAACCTCTGTGTAGTCCAAGAGCTTGTCTCTCTCCCCAACAGAAGTCGGTCCAGTAAAATATATCATCTCCCCCACCTTGTCTCTCCAATATCCTGGGACCCACACGACTACAACACTATTATGATAAACTAAGCTCAACTTCAAAGAAGAGCTAGCAGAGCCGTGTCCTGTTTGAGGCCTGTGGCTGCTGGATTTTATCTGTATGGGGTGAAATCCACCCCCATGCAGAGGAAGAGCACATCATAGCCATGCCACCCTCGAGTGGTGCCTAGGTTTCGGGATGGCCCTCCATCCAGGGGTGTATAGGGCTCTGAGAGGGAAAGGAGCAGCAGCTGGCACAGCCCCATGGGCTCTGCCAGGGTGGCCCATCTGCACTGTAACAAAGCGGCAGGATGAACTGGTTACAGAAAGAGAGCCAGGTGCCAGCTGAGGCCTCTGGCAATAACGACAGGCTGCAGCTACCATGGTTACCGTGTGGCAGGAGCACAAACTGAGCCCGTCACAGAGTACTCACAAACCCAGCTGATGGGGGCAGTGCAGACAGAGTGCAAGAGGCAGGATTGTGAAGTGACACAGACCATGAGGCTCGCCTCCAGCAACAGCCTAACCCAGGGGAATTCTGCCCTGCCCGAGCCCAACATGTGTAGAGCAGGTAACAGGAATAGAGAAAGAAGGGCAACAGGAAGGCTGGCATTGTAATCATAGCCTAGCCTTCAGGAGATCTAGATTCAAGTGCCAGCTCTGTCACGGACTTGCTCACTGCCCCTGGGCAAGGCCCTTCATCTCTCTGGCCCTCAGCTCCCCACCAATAATGATACCCCTTTTGTGGGTCTTCACTGAGACTGTAAGACCTTTAGGATAGAAACTGTGTCTCTGCAGTGACCAGCACAAAGAAGCTCTGATATTGGATGGGATGTCTAGGCAATAATGGCCTATAAATAGTTTTTAACAGTGGCAGTTTGTAGCCTAAACCACAAAGCAATAGTAAAAGTCCAGATATGTGCAGGCCTTAGAAAGCTAGATGGAGCCATAAAAGGAGAAAGGTTTGTTGCCCTGCCATGGGTAAGATCCTGTAAATGAAGTCCCACACTATCTTCCCAGTGCATCTTAACAAAGGCTATGTCTATACTACAGACTTCCGCTGGCATTGCTATGACGGTCAGGGGCGTGAAGAGGTGTGATCCCTGACCAGCAGGGCTGTGCTGGCAGAAGTATGTCGTGTGGACACAGCTACACAAGCAAAAGCGCGGTTTTACTGGTATTACTTGTTTTCGCTCATGAGGGGTGGACAGCACATATCTTAGCCAGGATAGCTGGGTCCACATTAGGAGCACTTTGCAAATATAGTACATCCATATTCCTACACTGGTAACGCGCATCTAGTATAGGCATAGCCAAAGGGTTAACAAAGTCAGCGCAAAGGTAGAAATAGAGTTATAAGAAGAATTCAGAGACAGAACTGCCTTCTGTAATCACACCGGACTCAGATGGACAAGGAACATGGAATCTCCTCTGGAGCAGGAAGTCTGGGCAGATGGGTTAATGCATTTCATTGTGGCGACGATACAGAAAGGCAAAGAGCCAAGGAGAGGGATGTGAATACTTGCAAAAGAGCAAATCAGAACCTATCTGCAAACAAAGGGGAGATGACAGCTTGCAAAACAATCTTCAGCCAGATCCTCAGCTGGTGTAAATTGGCAAAGCGCCACTGACTTCAAATTAAAGTTTGGCTTCAGCAGAGCTAAAGCGATGTGCACCAGCTGGGGTGCTGGCAGAGCTAAGCCATCATTTGCAGACATAGTTTCCAGTGAGGGAGTTTGTTCAGGTCTATTAGAAACTGCAGACTATGTGGGACGCTGAAGCGCACCAACCAAGACACGTTACTATGCTAGCTTATTTTCAGAGCTATTCCAGCTTTGTTCACCTTTGCGCAAGGAAGACACAGTGTTTCAGTGAATTAAAAATTGCAAGAGAGAATTTCAGAGCAGAATGTGTTAGTTGAATGGAAATGTACTTATCTCAAAAGAAAAACACTTTATTTAGCAGAGTGTTTCTCAACCTTGCTGATACCAGGGACTGGCTTGCTGCCTTCCTAAACTGTGTCAGGGAGATCTCAGGGACTGGCGCCTGTCCACGGACCAGTCGCTGAAAAACACTGATTTCACACACAGGTGAAGCTGCAGAATGACTTGCTCTGCCTAGCACATGTGAAAATCTCATCTATTAAAAAGGAAAAACAAACAAACAAACAAAAAAATACCCGACTCACCCCAAAGTATCTAAGAATGTCAGAAAAATGGTGTGTTTCACTGTATTTGATGAGAAATAGCAAGTTAAAGACTGGATTGCAGTGTGTTTGCACAAAGGGAACAGAGGGACGGCTGCATGATCAACCTTCACATGGGCAATTCCTGACTTTCGAGTACTTAGCACAACACCATTAAAGTGATCCATGAAAACAGCCCCAAGAGGGCTCATGTTTATGGTGTCTGTGATTTCTCAGCTGAAATCTGTTGAGCTAAAGTTATTAAAAATGAGTTCAAGGCCCCATGGTGCCCAGTGCTGCACATATACATAGTAAGAGACTTGGCCCACCGAGCTCACTGCTGCAATGCACAAGACAAAGGGGGAGAGGGGAAAGAGAGATAGAGAGGGAAGAGATTTGCTCAAAGTCACCCCAAAGGTCAGTGGCGGAGCCCAGATTAAACTTAATTCTTCTGTGTGCTCTAACCATTAGACCATGCTAGTCATATTATGTATTTTTTCTTAATGCTTAGCTGGATAAAGTGAGCCTGCAGTCTGAAAACCAAGCTGTTTTTTCCATTGCCTTACACCTCACCAACAACAATGTATGTGCAATCAGAATTTAATTCACAAGGCTGTTGATCATGGGTGAGCTAGAGCTAGGTTGGCTCAGGGCTAGCAGGAATAAAGAACAATAGCACCGTACAAGGCCTCAGTCCTGTAGTGAGGTCCATGCAGGGGTAAAAAGCAGTAAGAACTTATTTATGTGAAGTCAGCAGTTCTGGCTGACGCACACAAGGAGCAGGGCTGTTGAGGAAGGTGGTCACTTTTCAGACTAGGGCCCCATTCTAGTGTAGTATGAATGCTGTTGGGGTTGCATCTGCTGAGGTTGCATCTGGACGGATTCATCAGTAACTTCCTGGCTTCTGCTCAGTGCAATGCAGTTCTAACCTGGCATAACCAGCACCTTTGTTTCTGGCTGATTTGTGTCATCAGAATAGCCCAAAGCAACGAGAGCCTGCTAGTGAATCCCAGCCCTACATTTACAGACAATTACAGGTCAATTGCAAAGGAAAAATAATTACCTAGCAACCATTGCATATTAGTCTGTGTGTGGTTAAAGATTTATTTAAAAACACTTTTCTTCTGCCTTTCCTTGTTCTTTGCAGTTTGCATTTTTGACACGTGCTTTGCCCTCTGCAGCTCAGCAAGCCTCATATGGGCCCCAATTCTGCCTCAGATCCATGCTGCTGGATCCTTTTACCTGTGCCCCTGTTCACCCGTTTGCAGGATCAGGGTCTTGGAGTGAGACTAGTGCGACAGAAAGGTGTCTTGGTGAGCTGTGACCTGAGCTCCTGCTAGTCCATCCATTCCCTCCCCCCCCTCCACCCATTCCTTGTGCTGCTGGCCCTCTGTGGAGTGGGGAATTTCACCTGCCGTACCCCCCAGCACTCCACCTCGCCTCTCTCCCCCTCCCCCAAAGTAGCGAGGGTCTCAGCCAGAGGGGTGGGGGCAGAGTCCAGGATAGCAAAGCACTGCAATCTCTGACTGCCTCACCCACAGCGACTTACCAGAGACCAATCCTCTCCTCCTGTGCGACTCGGCAAACGCGGTTATCCGGGGCCAGCTGATCGCAATCTCCTCCGCTAGGCGAAACATGGATTGGACACGAGTTAGTTGTGTGGCAGGGTAGGCGCGGGTGCCATCTGGAAAGCAGCCACCCTCTCCCCTCCAGCCCCCAGTATCAACAAAACACCTCAGTCTCTCCCGGTGTCTGTCTGGGGCACAGGGTGTAGTCTCCCGAGGACCCAAATGTTTTGGTTTCACGACAGTCGTTGGGCTCAAGGTTGGGGTAACTGGGCGAAACTGAATGGCCTGGGTTATGCAGGAAGGCAGACTGGATAGTCTAATGGCTGCTTCTGGCCTTATGCTCTATGAACACATACCCAACATTCCTCAGCAAAACCAACTTTTGAACCAGTGCACAGAAGTTGGCAAATCAGAACCACAGCTCCACAAAGGGCCAAACTGAACCATCTGCACCCGCCTGGGATCTTCCAAACAACCTGACAGTCGGGAGCCCAAATCCCATTCAATATCAATGGGATATGGCCCCATGAGCCTAAGAGCCCTTCAATGCCAACAGGTCAAGGAGGTTACAAGAATATCCTGCATCTTGGCAGCGGGTTAGACTAGATGACCCTTGCGGTCCCTTCTAGCCCTATGGGTCTATTATTCTAATATCCTGATACGTACATTCTGGTTCACTGAAGAACGTCATGTAGGATCTCAAATGAAAGCCACAATCACTCTGGTCATTAATATCATTGCGAAATGTGCATACAGACTCTATGTATAGACTTATGGGTGTGTCAAGAAAATATGTTCCTAGAACCTGTATCAAGGGTGGGTCGACAAACAGGTTTCTGCCAGACCAAGGATGGATATTCACCCCTGTATCCCTCGTTCACGCGTAAATCAAGCGTTGCAAGCCAACACAATGGAAGTGCCATTTACAAACAAAGTCAACAGGAGACACAAGACCAGAAAATGAACTCCAGGGGGTTGTCCTGTCTATGGGGCAGACAATGAATTTTGGGGAACATAAGAGGAAGGCAAGAAGACACACTCCTTAATCCTGCACCTAGAAAGTTAACGGGCAGCACATTTACTTTCATAAAAACAGGATGCCAACTGGACTTGGTTGGAAACCCTGCAGAAGGCTTTGGGTGAGATAAGACTGCTCTGGACAGGAGGTTAGCCTCTTAAAAGTTTAGTCTCTAGAAAGCGCCTATAGATTTTGTTTTATATGTAACCCTTCTGTTTCCGTTATACTGACTCACTATCTCTTGAATCTTGGTCTTTGATAAAAAATGTACTGTTGTTTTCATTATAAATATATCTCAGTACACAGTGTTATCCAAGGAGCTGATCCTGAGTTGAATCGTTCAAGCTGGTCCTTTGGGGACAGTCAACCTAGGATTTCTGTGAGGGGACAAGGGGCTGGACACTGCATCAAAGGGACTTGGGGACGGGGGTACACTGATTGTTACCCTGCCAGGTGAAGTAAGGGCTGGCACAGCCCGGAGGAGATTGTTTGGGTGGCTAACAGGTGGGGGGGTGTCAGGGAGCTGACACCCAGCTGAGCACCAGCAAGTCTCCCTCTCGCTGGAGGCAGGCCATCAGGGGCAGATTTTAAAAGGTATTTAGATGCCTAAACCCATTTAAAAATTGGGCCTTAGCCTCCTTAGAAAATCGCAGCCCTTGAGTAATAGCCTTGTTTCCCTGGCTTTGGCAGGCGAGATTGTAACTTTAGGCCTAGCCCTGACCAGAGTGTCATGCCAGCCCAGGGACTGCACCTCAGACACACCCTTCTGAGTCACAATTCCTCCCCTGTTTGCTCCTGGAGGGGGGAGTAATTTACAGCTAGCCTAGAGCAGCAATCAATTACTACCCCACCCCATGCTGGCTCAGCGAGCAGCCAGGTGATGGAGCCAAGGCTACGCCCATCGCCTGCTTGAGAGAGGGAATCAATAGGCAGGTAGCCCATCAATTCCTCTGAGCCCACAGAGCAGTGCGAGGTCTGTCATTCCTTTGCACAGGCGTCATCTAATCCATTGGGCCTGCTAGTGGAGAATGCCCTCGTCCCGCCCACACTTGTGCACATGTTTAACTCTACGCATTAGACACATGAGAAACATTAAGCACATAGGCCTGGTCTACACCTACAAAATTAGATCAAGATTGCTCAAGGCTGGGAAAAATGTTGTGCTCTGTGCAACATCGCTAGGTCAACCTAACCCTTGGTGTAGATGCAGCTGGGTTGACCTAGCCACTGCCTTGCGGGGAGGAGGATTAGCTACAGCAACAGGAGAACTCCCTTCTGATCCCTTCTAATCATCTTGTCTGACCTCCTGCATAACACAGGCAGGGGACCCTCCCCCAAAAGTTCCCACCAGAGCAGATGACTTCTGGTGGAGCAAGTCGGTGTAAGGTCTTGTCTATACTAGAAAGTTGTACCACTGTATCTTTACCAGTGTAGGGTGACCAGATGTCCCGATTTTATAGGGACAGTCCCGATTTTTGGGTCTTTTTCTTATATAGGCTCCTATTACTCCCCACCCCCTGTCCCGATTTTTCACATTTGCTGTCTGGTCACCCTAAGTTAAAGCAGTACAACACCCCTTAGTGTGGACACAGTATTATGGGGCTAAAGGTGCATATTACTGGTACAGTTTATTCACGTACAGGAAGGGGAATAAGCTATCCTGGTATAAGGCACCTTTATAGCCACATAACTGCGTAAACACTACTATAATCATATTAGTAAATAAATACCGCCCCTGAGTGAAGCAGCCAAAGCAGGGCTACAATTGGGGAAGGGGATAAAATATGGCTCAGCACCCCCTGGACCCAGAACTGTGCAGAGGGACCCCCCCACACACGGACAAACTCTGGGGGGCATAGGACTCAGGTGGTGCCTCCCCTCCCCACTGCCATGTGGCCTTTAGGGAAAACTGCAGAGAGGAGCCAGCCAGAGACTCTAGTCACAGCAGTGACCTTTGGACATTCAGGGAACTGACTGCAGCTTTGACTGGACTTCCTCTGCCCTGTGCCGAGACTCTGATCCAAACACTTCCCCCACCCCCCACCTGCATCTTCACTGTCTCTTCACCTGCTTCACTCCACACCTGCCCTGTCCCCCCTCTTCCCTACCCCTTCCCTTCCATGTCCCCTCTCCCTTCCCTTTTCTTTCCATCTAGCTGATCCCCTCCTAACTAACCACCTCCCCGCCCCCCTCCCGGAACAAAAAATACCCCTTGCCACTAACATGTCATTTGCTCCCATCCCATTGCTCACTCTGCTGGTGTGTTCTACCCCTTCCCTCACCCTGGGTCTGTCTGGTCTATTTCAACTGTTCGCTCTTCGTGGCATGGATTATCAACTTCTCTGTTTGTACCGCACCTAGCACAATAGGGCCCCGTTCTTGGCTGGTCCTTAGGCCCTACCACAATAAACATGATGATGATGAGGATTATTAATATAACAAAATAGTTCTATCAGTACAAAAACCATATCGGCCTGACTGTTTGCAGGATTGGGGCTTGAGGTGCTCGTCTTTGTACATCTAGGAGATGGAAATGGGCCCTAAGCAATTCTGGAATGCAAACAGCAGCTGGGTGGACAAGATTTTGGCTCAGATTCTCCAGAAAAGAACAGCAAACCAAACCAAACTAAAAACAATGACAAATATTCAATCCATATAGGCCGTGATTTAAAATATATAAAAAAAATAATAATACAGCTAGCCAGAGATATAAAATAAATAACTGAAAAAAAATACAAAGTGGCCTGGGGATTAGGAAAAGGCAAATGATTAAAAAAAAATCAATAAGCAGAAAATCTATCTATATATATACACACACATACAGAAAGAGAGAGAGAGAGGGGCAGGAGTTTAAATGAAGAAAAATAGAAAAGTTTTTAAAATTACAAAATTAATGGAAAAATGGTTTAATAAAAATATAAAAAGAAAATAGAAATGGAGTGCTTTTGTTTAGTTTTTTTTTAAAACATAAAGATAAAATAAAGAATAAACACATGAACTGGTAGGAGCAACTTGTTCAGTTCACTATGCCCTGCTCCAGCAGAGAATCATAGGACTGGAAGGGATCTCGAGAGGTCATCTAGTCCAGTTCCCTGCACTAATGGCACGACTAAGTATTATCTAAACCATTCTTGACAGATGTTTGTCTAACCTGCTCTTAAAAATCTCCAATGATGGAGATTCCACAACCTCCCTAGGCAATTTATTCCAGTGCTTAACCACTCTGACAGTTAGGAAGTTTTCCCGAATGTCCAACCTAAACCTCCCTTGCTGCAATTTAAGCCCATTGCTTCTTGTCCTATCCTCAGTGGTTAAGAAGAACAATTTTTCTCCCTCCTCCTTGTAACAATCTTTTATGTACCTGAAAACCTATGTCCCCCCTTGGTCTTCTCTTTTCCAGATTAAACAATCCCAATTTTTTCCAATCTTCCCTCATAGGTCATGTTTTCTAGACCTTTAATCATTTTTGTAGTTCTTCTCTGGACTTTCTCCAATTTGTCCACATCTTTCCTGAAATGTGGCGCCCAGAATTGGACACAATACTCCAGTTGAGGCCTAATCAGCGTGGAGTAGAGCGGAAGAGTTACTTCTCGTGTCTTGCTTACAATACTCCTGATAATACATCTCAGAATGATGGGTTTGCTTTTTTTGCAACAGTGTTACACGGTTGACTCATATTTAGCTTATGGTCCACTATTATCCCCAGATCTCTTTCCGCAGTACTCCTTCCTAGGCAGTCATTTACCATTTTGTATGTGTGCAACTGATTGTTCCTTCCTAAATGGAGTACTTTGCATTTGTCCTTATTGAATTTCATCCTATTTATTTCAGACCATTTGTCCAGATCATTTTGAATTTTAAATCCTATCCTCCAAAGCACTTGCAACCCCTCCCAGCTTGGTATCATTTGCAAACTTTATAAGTGTAGTCTCTATGCCATTATCTAAATCTTTGATGAAGATATTGAACAGAACCGGACCCAGAACTGATCCCTGCAGGACCCCACTTGTTATACCCTTTCAGCATGTGAACC